GTAATCCCTCAATGTTATCCCCTTCATCCTTTGCTCTCTTCATCGACACGTCGTGTCATCATTCCGCCATCTTTAGTCATCATTTCGCCATCTTCACCATCTAATTTTCTGTGTGTGCAAGCCATCGTTGTGATCATTTTTCTTTGTTTGTGCCGCCGCTTCTTCATGTAAAATTACGTTTCGTAGAACAATTTTTAGTTTTAATAGGCTTTATGTTTAATTTGTTAAGTTTGTCAGCCCATTTATGTATAATTGTTATAGGTTTGTTAATTCGGCCCATTTAATTTTAAAAAACAGCCCAAAAGTTAAATAACATAAATAACCAAAATTATAAAACAAAACCGAACGAACCGAATACACCGAATTTATGCGGTTAACCAAATTGGACAAAATAGTTTCAGATTTTTTGAATAAGTACCAGTAATTTGGTTTATTCGGCAGAATTTTCATAATTTGAAATACCCGATAACCGAATTGAATTATAATTTGTGGAGTTCGGTGGAGACTAGAGTCTTGATAGAACTACTTGTAAAGGGAATTCAACGCGGATGTGTTTGTGTTTGGAGATTTGTGTTTGTGATAACTCACATGTGTGATATGTGTGATTTGTGTTTGGGAGTGTTTGTTTTTTTAGGATATATGGATTTGAAGAATCTCATGGATACTCATGGTATTTTGAAAGTTGAGCTTTATGAGTAAAAATGTGTAGAATTCATATCTCAATAACATGAGATTTTAATATAATTAAAAAAAACTAAATTTTTTAAATAACAAGAAATTTTAAAGGAATTTAAAAATTCTCAAACCAATAACAGTGAATTCTATTTAGATTTTAAGAATTCATAAACCAATAATGGTGAAATTTCAAATTTTTTAAAATCTATGTAAATTCATTCCCCGATAAACTCCCAAAATTAATCAAAAAAATAATAGATAATCTTTTTTAGTGTGAAATTTAGTGTTATGCTTGTACATAGAAAACTTTTTTTTACACCATAACATCAAATTTGGTGTTAAAATCATACCAAATTTAGTGTGTTATAAAGAAACGTTTCCAAATTTTCAAATTCTCTCAGGCCCGATTCCCAATGGAAACCCACCTATTTTCTGATTTGTACTAGGCCGACGGATCTGTCACCTTTTCCACCGTAGAAAAGCCCTCCTCCGCCGCAACCACTTTTCCGACATGGGCATCTTCTGACAAACTCGTTCTCGTGCTTCTCGGTGCTTTCCAAACACCCCTGTAGAACTTCCGTCTGTGGCTCATCCATGGCAGGTACAGTTACAGTCAAAATGTGGCTGAGATTGGCTTCCGATTCCAACTTGGTGATACAGGAAGATCTGTGCTTTCTCGTTGCGAGGACTGGTTCAGAGCGGCCGAGCCGTCGACTCCCATCTGAACCGCCTGTTTCTCCGGACCCTCCGGACATAACCTCGGGTCTTTCATCTTCGCCCACCGCTGCCAAGACCCACCCCCGGCTCGCAAATCTGGTAAACTTTCCAGATCCGACCGGCACCAGATCTGGAAGAGCGATGGCTGCCCCTCGCCGTCGCTCATCGCCGAGATCCCATATCACCTTTCCTGGCCCAACCAGCCTAAAGCCAATCACTCACCTTTATCGGCGGAGACTTGGTTCTCCGAGCAACCACCGCAAGTCCTCCACCATCTCTCTCTTGTAACGACCCTTTATTTTCATATTAACAGCAATCAATCGTGGGCACCGGCGAGTGCAAAAATGATATCTTTGATGACCGGTTGTTCAACTCCGGCAAAGGAGTCAACAGGTTTCGTGAGATTTCTGGGCCTCGAACAAAAGTGTTTTCTTGGTGGGTCTGGCCCAGATGGTTTTTCAAGACAGCCCAACAACAAGTTTCAATTTGTTCAAACGGGCCTAAGGAAAAAGGCCCAATATCAGATTAAGGCTCTTATTTGCAAATCAGGTATAAGACCACTCACGATTTATCTCTGAAAAGATGTACTGCCTTTCTTTTCGTTTTAGACATTTTGTTACAATGCTTGTCAAAATCGAAGTCCTTCAAACTGAGTCTGGAGAGACCAATTCGCCTTCATTGTGCTTCATTCTATCATCAATCGCTGAGATTCAGATATCCACGAATGAGACGGTCAAAATTTTATGGATTCTCAAATCCTGTAATTTTGCAAGCTCGATATCTTCCCTGTTGAGAGAATATAAAGTTTTCTGGATTCTCAAATCCTGTAATTTACTCCCGGTGGAAGAGTTTAATTCTACATTCTTCCATCTCTTTTAGATTGGTCGTATCTTCTTCCCGCTCTTGGAGAGCGGTTGATTTTTCGACCTTTATGCAGGACCTTCAAAGTACAATGTTGAGTGACTAACCTGAGACTCTGCGGCTTGGCCGTGAAGACACTCTTGACGCATCCGAGGCATGTCTTGGATCCGCTGTCCATCTTCTTCGATGATCTATCTACTTTAGATTTTATTGCATTTCAATTATGTTGTTTTAATGTTGGAGGATGCTTAATTCCCTCTATTTGTATTTTGATCAGTTAAATGAATGAAATACGTTTGTTTGAAAAAAAAAGTTAGAAAAGATACAATATCTTCAATTTAATAGTTGATAAAATACACAGTATTATAAACCCATTTAGTGGATGTGCATTATAACTCCATATTCTAGAGTGTTCTAAACTTGTTCTCCAATCTACTTCCTCTCCAAGCTATTGTATCCTATATATACTTTCTATTATTGATGGAATAATACAACACAATTGATACGCCCTGAGTTAAGGATCACTCAACCCGGATTATGAAGATAGGATTCATGCCAAGAAGCAGGTTGCATACAAGGGTGATTTTGATGGATTGAAGGGTCGCACAACAGATGTYTAAGTCTGCT